GCCAGACTTCAGGAAAATTCCATGAAACTATATTGAAATTTATGCTGGGGAATGCGCGACTAGCAGCGAGCTTGGGGATCCCTGTTCAATGTTGCAATTTCACAATTTATATGCATACACAAATGCGCCATCTATTGCGCACTTTATGCACCACGCAGTACTAATTTGCCTACTGTTTACCTGGTATTTGCACTACCTACCCGACACACATTATCTTAAGCGCCCACACCCTGCTTAGAGTCTAACTTTTATCTGTGCTATTTGATCTCTGATAATAATAATTCTCAGGTCACTTAAGATAACACACACACTTAATTTCGCGAGAGCTGAGCAAAGTTTCTCAGTGTGCGAGCAAGACTAGTGAGCATAGCCAAAGATACGCCTCTTATACCGCATAGGACTGTATAAACTCTCATTTAATCTTCAGCTTCAACATGGAACTGATATTAAATATTGGAGTTCTATGATGGGTCAGCAATTAAATAGAGCAGAAATCGAGTTAAGAAACTGATCCACTGGGTTGTCCATAAGATAAGATGGATCTGTTTATCTGGCAATTTGTGTTACTATCCCAAAGTTACTTATATACTTATTAAAGAATCTCCATTTCGCCAGCTTAAAGTTCTCTTCAATGGACCTCTCATTCCAATCTTCGAAGCCCTCTCGTAAAATTATTGAATTGAATATAGGAATAGTTAGGAATTTAATAGAGCAGAAATCGCGGTTGTCTATAAGATAAAATATATCTGTTTCTCTTGCAATTTGTGTTACTATCCAAAAGTTAATTACATATTTATTCGAGAACCTCCAGCTTAAAGTTCTCTTCAATGGTCTTCTCATTTCCAGCTTCGAAGCCCTCTCGAAAAATCATTCATTCTCTCTCTATATATAATCAAATTTGAAGGCCTTTGTTGCTCTGGCTTCAAGTTTTGTTATCTAGAATTAATTCTTTGTAACAATTAAACAAATAAATAAGTAGATAAATAAATAATCAAATTTAGCTTTCATCTAGAGACAACTTTTCGAGCACACCTCGCTCGATGCAGTCTAACGCTTTATTCTTTGCTCTAATTCGTAGTCCGCCCAATAATAAATTTATTTCAATCAATTTTTTTTTTATTATTTTTGTGAATAACTAACTTCAGACGCATCAGTTACTCTTGTTTATATCAGTTACAATTATATATATGTATATATATAGATATAGTTA